ACACACACATCCGCCCTCTCACATCATCTATAATTGACTGAGACAGGACTCTTCCAGACACTCTAAACCCAGGCACAATGTACATTTCAAATTCCTTTAATTTTAAATATGTGACAAATAAAGAACCTTGAACCTTGAACCTTGATCTGCAGATGCTTACATCGTGCGGATCTCTCTTCCGGAAGATAATATATTGAATAAAATGATTATAAATACTTTGACCACTCTGAGTCTGCATCTTCTCTGTCCAGTAGAAAAATAAAAAGAACTGGTTTCAATATTTTCCTTTTCTTTTTGAAAAGTATGCATCAGAAAGTCAGAACAGTGAACTATTAAGAGACCACTGTAGTCCAATACAGGGTACAACACAGCTGAGTTGCTGGTTTAAGTCCAGCGACATTGTACAAGCACAACATTGTTCTTCTCTTAAATCTGTTGTTTTATTTCTGTAACCTTCTGTAATATCTTACTCACTTAAGAAGCTGAGGACTGACAAAGGTTAACACATCCTGCAGAAGTTTGAAGCAGACAGATTCAATCAGAATCCTTTTAAAGGTCTTGTAAATGGTGGTAATCAGCCATGAATTGGGATAGTTCTCTTCCTCCTTATTGTCCTTTTTCTTCTTTTCATCTTCCTTCTTCCCCCTTTCCTCCTAAAAGAACAGATAGTTTAAACACAGTTGATGAGATTTATTCAGAAAAAAACATAGTGATGTTGATTAGTGGTGTTATTAAAATTCGTTTAGACTGTAGCTCAATATAGTGTACATGTGTGTGGAAGTGTTTGAATGCTCTCACCATCATTAGTACATCCTGACTGACTCCTTTCCCCAGACCACTGGAAAGCCCATTTTGCTGTGGGTTTTCCTGGGCACTGTCTCTGGTTTTAGCTGATTTCTTTTTCATCTTGTTCTGGAATCGGACCCTAGCTGCATCCAACTCAGGCTTCATGAAATGCTGGAAACGCTCATTGATGAAAGCAGTGCTATCACTCTCATTCAGATCCCACATGTCCTCCTGAACCAGAGGTTGTTTGTAGCCTTTTAAGACCATACTGTAAAAACAATGAAAAGACATGGAGCACATATGTAGGTGCTTGTTAAGATTCCTACTATACTGACTTTAATGTTACCTGTTTAACCAATTTAAAGTGATTCTGCTCAAAAATGGTGCACCTGCTTCAGGATTCTGTGGATAAAAACAAGATTAACATTTGACTCCTTATGAACTTTGCCCTC